TTATTTTCTATATTTTCTTTTTTGTAATTTAATTAAAATTGTTTTTTTAAAGAATTATTTTTCTATATTTTCTTTTTTTGTAATTTAATTAAAATTGTTTTTAAAGAATTATTTTTCTATATTTTCCTCTTTTTGTAATTTAATTAAAATTGTTTTTAAAGAGTTATTTTTCTATATTTCCCTCTTTTTGTAATTTAATTAAAATTGTTTTTAAAGAATTATTTTTCTATATTTTCTTCTTTTTGTAATTTAATTAAAATTGTTTTTAAATAATTATTTTTCTATATTTCCCTCTTTTTGTAATTTAATTAAAATTGTTTTTAAAGAGTTATTTTTCTATATTTCCCTCTTTTTGTAATTTAATTAAAATTGTTTTTAAAGAATTATTTTTCTATATTTCATATCCTATAAGAAATTTTTTTTTTAATATTTTTCTCTATATTTTTTTATTTTTATTCTTCTTACTCTTTTTTTTTAAATCTAATAAGTTATGTACATTCAAGTATTTAAATTTACTTTTATTTACCTCTTTCATGGCTGTGTTTTGTATTTTTTGAGTTTGTCCTTATTATTTGTTATTGGGGTTTTCCTCTGTAAAAGGACTCTTCATACTTTTATCTATTTTGATTTATAATTTAATCTATATTTAATCTGTATAATATTTAATCTATAATTATTCTTTTAACATATATGATTTTATCTAAACCTTTATATTTTAATCTATAATTAATCTATATAATCTTTAAATTTAATCTTAATTATAATCTCTGTTTTACCTTTTATTATCTATTTAAAATTTTTTTCCCTTATATTGTAAAATTTCCTTTGGGCTATTACTATCTATTTATTTTAATTTGTCTTTTATTTAATTATTAATTTTAATATCAAGGTTTTTCTTGTTTATACTAATAATGTCGAAATTTTTATTATAATATTAAATTCCTTTGCATAATATTAGAATTAAATAATGGTATTAATATTAAATTCTAAAATTTCTTTAATCTATAATCTTAAAAACTCTTTCTTAACTTTAAAGAATGTATTTCTTTATGAAATTTTTTTCTATTTAAACTAGAGTTAACATTTTAAATATAGGTCATTGCTAATCTTCAACTGTTTTTAACTTCTGTCTAAGCTTGTATATGTTTTTGTCTTCCTATCCCCCCTCCTACTTTGGTGTTTCTTTCCTTTTTTTCTCTCTATCTCCCTCTTAAATGCCTTTTCCCTTATGTTTTTCCTTTTTTTTTTTTTTAAATTCTTTCTCCATATCCTTTTTAATTTTCATTTTTTTTTAAAAAAAACCATTATGATACATTTTTGTTATCAAACTTTAGTCTTGATAAGCTCCAAAGAAATTTCTCTCTCTAGGAGTGAAATGGTCATATAAATGGGTTAAAACTGAGTTTCATTTTTATGTAATTATATATATATATATATATATATATATATATATATATATATATATATAGAGAGTTGTAAAGTGGATATAATAAAAGAGAAGAAGTCTCTTATATCCGGGTTTGGTCTATTTTATATTGTAGTGGGCCGTGGCGGTTACCAATTGTAGTGGGAATGGCGGTTGCCACTTGTTGAGGGTTCATGGCGTGGCTGTTATGTTGTTGATAGAAGTCAGACGTAGAAGAAACGCAAGGTTCAGAATACTCCTGCCCGCCGGGCCCAACTACATAAAAAGGTTGGACTTTGATTAAGTCCAAAGAAGAAGGAAAAGAAAGCACACAAAACAAGACCGATAATATATGTATATACAAATATATATTAATAACAAGTTACAATACATGGAAACAGTACAAAGGACGAAGTGTGTGTGAATATTCTGTATGTGCATGTGTGTGTCAATATTCTGTATGTGCGTGCATGTGTGTATATTGTGCTTAGCGTGTTTCCATGCTATCCCTTGTTAGCGTCTACATTTCGAGGTTGATAGCTGAAATCCTCAAGGAAAAAGAGAAATTTACCTCGAGGTGTTGGTGCACAGGCCTGAAGGAAAAAAGAGATAGAGGTGAAGGGTCAGCGACTATTTATAGCCAGGGAAGAGAGACCCCTGGTGAAAGGGTTAACGGAGTGAAGGAGGAGTTAACTCCGACAATATACATTAACACAGGCTCTAATTTGGGACCAGAGAAAATCTCTCTTATATCTGGGTTACACTATATATATATATATATATATATATATATATATATACATATGAAATTGAATTTATGTAAACACGCTGTGTATCAAGTGAGATATCTCTCCTTTTAGGTGTAAAAAATTGTTCTTTTTATTTATTTAGAATAAATTTTTTTAATTTTTCATCTTTCAAACTTAAGAATACAAACAACATAAATTATTAAATTAATTATATTATAAATTATTAAATTATATATAAATTATTAAATTAATTATATTATAACCAACAATAATAAAATAAACAAGTTTTAACACAGAATTTTAAATCAACAATATGAGAACGCAACTTTCATAACACTTTAACAGTTAGTAAGTATTTTGCACCTGAAGATTACATGAAACTCTGAATTGTGTTATCAACGTAGGATATCATGTATATTCACCAATATATCCTTAATAGCTCTGTTATATAACAGAGCACTGGTTTTATAACACCTGTGAAAAAATATATATGTATGTGCAAGTATATGTGCATATATGCATGTTGTTTTTATGATACCTATATATATATATATATATATATATATATATATATATATATATAACATGTATACATATACCTATGTTTCTAGTTTGAAGTAGAGTTTCATGTTTACCCAATTCATCATGCACAAATATATATACACACAAAGGTACCTTGTATGTCCAACATAATCTTCTTCCTTGTCAATGTGTGCAATTCACTGAAAAATATTAAATTCTGATCTGAAATTTTCACTGTATAATAATGAAAATTTCCGATCAGAATTCAACTCGTCAGACTGTGGATGTGCTGATGCACTATTATGTGGCCCTCCTCAAACACTAAAGTTTAGGGAAAGTGAACAGGATTTGTAAATCAAATATGATAGTTGCTGCTACCTTTTATGAAACAGTACCCTGTATGAGTTGTACCATTTTGTGAATTGGTATCTTATGGGTTGTATCCTGTATTGTGATAGAGGAACCAAACAACTAAATAGGGAATTACTTCAAAGGAAAAGGTGGAAACTAGTTGTTGGAGTAAATCATTTTTTTCTTTTCATGAACCTGCTTCTTTTGAAATGCACCTCATCTAAATTTAAATGAGCAGAAAGAAAAAATGTGGTTTTATTTTGCCATTTTTATGTTTATATAGGGGAATGAAGATGATTGAAATTAACACTGAAATATGGGAAAAGAAAGAAATAAAGAAACAAGCATAATTTATTGTCAAAATAGGCTTTTTTCAGCTGTGAGGAAATTTGGTACTCGAGTCTTTATTCACATGAATGATACACAGTTATTTTGTGTGTTACATTGATAAAGATACTTGATGATAATGGCACATTACCTGCATACTAGGGATACCTGGTCTTATCTAGGTTTACTTCAAATAAAAACCATTTGGTAGCACTATCAATAAACATGTTATATTGGTAAAGAGACCTTGAGACAATGGTACATGGTTGTTTTGCATGCTTGCCAAGGATTCCTGGCCTTATCTAGACTAACTTTGCATAGCAGGCAATTAATATCAATATCTTATAAATATACCTGTAGCTAACCTCATAATAACCACATTGTAAAGCCTTACAACAACCTCGTTTACTAACTCTCTACTTTGAGTGGCTCTTGGACCTTGTATTGTGTGAACAATAGGATAAAAAAGCTTGTACATTTGTATATGTGTGTGTGTGTATTTTAATGCATAATAACATTAGTAGGAAACTCCACACACCTTTGAGAAGGCAACATGTATTGAAGAAGACATTTTATAGTTTATTTTCTGAGCTCCCCAAAAACACTGACCTTAAATGACACTTTTCCTAAGACAAATCACAAAAGGAGATATATACAACTTACGTTAGAAAAGAAACCTTTTGTAAGTTGTAGATGAGCTGTATATCTAGCCATGGTTATATTTTGAAAGAAAAAGAAAAAGGAAGAAGACAGAATAAAATGATCATTATTCACAACAAATGTCATATTTAACTGGAGAAGCACAAATAATACAGAGGGAAAAACTGAAAATATGACTGAATGTCATCATATTTAATTTTCTGTTGATCATAGCTGAATTGAATTGACACCTTTGCCATCAGGCTGAGAAATCCTTCACAAATTAAGAGGAATTTCTGATAGTAAAGGATTGTTCACTGTAGCTTTATTCTCTACAATATTAATAAACTTTGATATCTCATTAGAGATATCTGAAGTCATTCAACTTGAGAATGGTTACAAGATCAATATTTGCAAATGTCCTAAGATGACAATGAATAGCATTCAATATTTTTCAATAACTTGTTTTTGTGGTCAATGCACACAAACCTCTGATAGAGATGTGTCAAAAACTTGATTCTAAACTTTATGAGATGCATACATCATCAATAGGTCTGTCTGCTGGTAATGCTTGCTTTCAGTCTGAACCACTCAATCTTTTTCTTACTGATTTTATTAATTTTCAAACCATTAGTAATGCATTTGCATATGAGAGGATGATGAAAAGTTCTTAGGCTGATGCAATTCCCCACAAAACTGACCAAACACTAGATTATTATGTTTTTTTCTGAAGGGCATCTTCAAGGGTTGACAGATTTATTTTCTATGGCTTATCAACCTATTGCAAGTTATTTAAAATCAGAAAATACTTTTTGATTGTAAGAATATTTTTTTTTAGATAATAATGATTTAGTGATACAAGTTTTACTAATTAACCCATATCTGGGGAGAGAAGAGGTATGTGTGCATAAATGAATATAGCAAACCTAACTGGAATTGGAACTCAACTCTCTGATTAACAATTCTGAGCCATTATCCATTACATCACCTGCACATCCAAGCTTACAAGCACCTGTCATTCCCAAGAAGTCATCCATCTAGGTATTGGCCAGGCTTGGCAATGCTTAACATTGGTGATCATATGGGAACTGGTATTTCAACATGATATGGCTGTAAAAGCCCTTCTTCAATGAGCCAGGAACTATTTAGAATACAGCTATGATACAACAAAGTTATGAAAGAGTTTAAAACAAATTTTTGAGGGGAAAAATCTATTAAATTCCAAAATTCCCATCTTGCCAGAATGATGTTTTAATATGATATTTAACTGTGAGATGTTAATAATTCAAAACTAAATTAAAGCTTTCTCTCAGATTAAGTTAAAAAATATTACTACCATATTAGATTTAACTAAATTGGAGGTAGAATATATTTATTTACACAGTTTACATGCAGACTATTATTCACATCTTTGTTATTGTTATTACATTTTGGTTGTTGTGCCCTCCAGCCTTCATCAAGTGTATGGTGATCCAGGTAACCTACAGGAAATTTTGAACAACTAAACCCTTTATTTAATCTACATGGGTAGACTGTTCTTGTTCCACTGACCATGTCTGGGGATATCTTGTCTAGTTCTTATTTTTAGTACTGTTCAGTTATTGCTCACACTGTTTCCTCTAAGTCCTAGAACATATTGCCTGGCCCAGGGATTGAACTCACAATTACAATGTCGCCAAATTCATGAACCAATGTTTTAATCCACTAATCTAATGTGCTGTGTATAATATATCTGTTTTGCACCAAGACTAAGCGATGACAAATTTTTCTGTAATGGATGGCAACATGTACGTTTTGTATGCTCTTGAGAAGCCTCTGAAATTAATATTCTGCATTAATTTTCTAGCACAACATCAATAAATATATATGATGTAATTATTAATATTTAATCTATCTACTCACACAGCATCAGAAACTGACACTGCTGGGGGGTGACACAGGAGGGCAGAAACAGAGACAGGCTTGGGGGGCTCAAATAGACAGGATAGAAACTGACAGGCTTGTGAATCAGAGAAAGTATGGCAGAAAAAAAGAGACAGGCTGGGGAATGAATAGAGACAGGATATCCAGACAGGATGGCAGAAACAGAGACAGGTTTGGGGGGGTGAATAGAGACATGGGGTGGGGGTGAATAGAGACAGGATAGCAGAAACAGAGACAGGCTGGAAGGTGAATAGAGACAGGATGGCAGAAACAGAGACAGGCTGGGAGGTGAATAGAGAGAAAATAGAGACAGGATGGCAGAAACAGAGACAGGTTTTTGAATTTGAAACAGGACAGGGCTGGGGGGTGAATAGAGAAAGGATGGCAGAAACAGAGACAGGCTGGGAGGTGAATAGAGACAGGATGGCAGAAACAGAGACAGGCTGGGGGTGAATAGAGACAGGATGGCAGAAACAGAGACAGGCTGGGGGTGAATAAAGACAGGATGGCAGAAACATAGACAGGCTTGGGGAGGGGGTGAATAGAGACAGGATGGCAGAAACAGAGCAGAAAACAGAGACAGGATGGGGGTGAATAGAGACAGGATGAATAGAGAAACAGAGACAGGCTTGGGGAGGGGGGGTGAATAGAGACAGGATGGCAGAAACAGAGACAGGCTTGTGGGGGGTGAATAGAGACAGGATGGCAGAAACAGAGACAGGCTGGGAGGTGAATAGAGACAGGATGGCAGAAACAGAGACAGGCTTGGGGGTGAATAGAGACAGGATGGCAGAAACAGAGACAGGCTGGGAGGTGAATAGAGACAGGATGGCAGAAACAGAGACAGGCTTGTGGAGGGTGAATAGAGACAGGATGGCAGAAACAGAGACAGGCTGGGAGGTAAATAGAGACAGGATGGCAGAAACAGAGACAGGCTGTAAGGTGAATAGAGACAGGATGGCAGAAACAGAGACAGGATGGCATAAACAGAGACAGAGACAGGCTGGGAGGTGAATAAAGTCAGGATGGCAGAACAGAGACAGGCTTGGGGGGTGAATAGAGACAGGATGGCAGAAACAGAGACAGGCTTGGGGGGTGAATAGAGACAGGATGGCAGAAACAGAGACAGGCTTGTGGGGTGAATAGAGACAGGATGGCAGAAATAGAGACAGGCTTGGGGAGGGGGGAATAGAGACAGGATGGCAGAAACAGAGACAGTCTGGGGGGTGAATAGAGACAGGATGCAGATACAGAGACAGGCTCGGGGGGGGTGAATAGAGACAGGATGGCAGAAACAGAGACAGGCTTGCGGGGTGAATAGAGACAGGATGGCAGAAACAGAGACAGGCTGGGAGGTGAATAGAGACAGGATGGCAGAAACAGAGACAGGCTTGGGGGGGACAGGATGGCAGAAACAGAGACAGGGGAATGGAGACAGGATGGCAGAAACAAAGACAGGCTTGCGGGGTGAATAGAGACAGGATGGCAGAAACAGAGACAGGCTGGAGGTGAATAGAGACAGGTGAATAGACAGGCTTGGGGGTGAAGAGACAGGATGGCAGAAACAGAGACAGGGAGGGGGGGTGAATAGAAGACAGGATGGCAGAAACAAAAACAGGCTTGCGGGGTGAATAGAGACAGGATGGCAGAAACAGAGACAGGCTGGGAGGTGAATAGAGACAGTATGGCAGAAACAGAGACAGGCTTGGGCGAGGGGGGGTGAATAGAGACAGGATGGCAGAAACAGAGACAGGCAGTGAAAGAGAGGACAGGCTGAAACAGGACAGGCTTGGGGGGTGAATAGAGACAGGATGGCAGAAACAGAGACAGGCTTGGAAGGTGAATAGAGACAGGATGGCAGAAACAGAGACAGGCTTGGGAGGTGAATAGAGAGGCTTGAGGGGGGTGATGGACAGGAACAGAGACAGTCTGGGGGGTGAATAGAGACAGGATGGCAGAAACAGAGACAGGATGGGAACAGAGAGGATAGGGGGGTGAATAGAGACAGGAGGAGGGGGGTGAATAGAGACAGGATGGCAGAAACAGAGACAGGCTTGGGGGTGAATAGAGGGGGCAGAAACAGAGACAGGCTGGGGGGGTGAATAGAGACAGGATGGCAGAAACAGAGACAGGCTCAGGGGGGTGAAAAGAGACAGGATGGCAGAAACAGAGACAGGCTTGGGGGGTGAATAGAGACAGGATGGCAGAAACAGAGACAGGCTGGGAGGGAATAGAGACAGGATGAATAGAGAGGCTTGGGGGGATAGAGACAGGATGGCAGAAACAGAGACAGGCTTGGGGGGTGAATAGAGACAGGATGGCAGAAACAGAGACAGGCTGGGGGGTGAATAGAGACAGGATGGCAGAAACAGAGACAGGCTGGGGGTGAATAGAGACAGGATGGCAGAAACAGAGGGGGGGGGTGAATAGAGACAGGGGGGGGGGTGGACAGGATGGCAGAAACAGAGACAGGCTGGGGGTGAATAGAGACAGGATGGCAGAAACAGAGACAGGCTGGGAGGGTGAATAGAGACAGGATGGCAGAAACAGAGACAGGATGAGACAGGATGGCAGAAACAGAGACAGGCTTGGGGGAATAGAGACAGGATGGCAGAAACAGAGACAGGCTGGGAGGTGAATAGAGACAGGATGGAGAAACAGAGACAGGCTGGGAGGTGAATAGAGACAGGATGGCAGAAACAGAGACAGGCTGGCAGGTGACAGAGACAGGCTTGGGGAATAGAGACAGGATGGGAAACAGAGACAGGACAGGGGGGGTGAATAGAGACAGGATGGCAGAAACAGAGACAGAAGGACAGAAACAGAGACAGGCTGGGGGGTGAATAGAGACAGGATGGCAGAAACAGATACAGGCTTGGGGGGTGAATAGAGACAGGATGGCAGAACAGAGACAAGCTTGGGGTGTGAATAGAGACAGGATGGCAGAAACAGAGACAGGCTTGGGGGTGAATAGAGACAGGATGGCAGAAACAGAGACAGGCTTTGGGTGGTGGTGAATAGAGACAGGATGGCAGAAACAGAGACAGGCTTGGGGGGTGGTGAATAGAGACAGGATGGCAGAAACAGAGAGAGGCTGGGAGGTGAATAGAGACAGGATGGCAGAGAACAGGAGAGACAGACAGGCTGGGGGGTGAATAGAGACAGGATGGCAGAAACAGAGACAGGCTGGGGGGTGAATAGAGACAGGATGGCAGAAAAGAGACAGGCTGGGGTGAATAGAGACAGGATGCAGAAACAGAGACAGGCTTGGGGGTGAATAGAGACAGGATGGCAGAAACAGAGACAGGCTTGGGGGGGAATAGAGACAGGATGGCAGAAACAGAGACAGGCTGGAGGTGAATAGAGACAGGACAGACAGAGACAGGCTGGGAGGTGAATAGAGACAGGATGGCAGAAACAGAGACAGGCTTGTGGGGTGAATAGAGACAGGATGGCAGAAACAGAGACAGGCTTGGGGGGTGAATAGAGACAGGATGGCAGAAACAGAGACAGGCTGGGGTGAGACAGGATGGCAGAACAGAGACAGGCTTGGGGGGTGAATAGAGACAGGATGGCAGAAACAGAGACAGGCTGGGGGGTGAATAGAGACAGGAGGAACAGAGACAGGCTTGGGGGGTGAATAGAGACAGGATGGCAGAAACAGAGACAGGCTGGGAGGTGAATGAGACAGGATGGGGGAAACAGAGAATTGACAGGATGGCAGAAACAGAGACAGGCTGGGGAGGTGAATAGAGACAGGATGGCAGAAACAGAGACAGGCTTGGGGGTGAATAGAGACAGGAGGTGAATAGAGACAGGATGGCAGAAAAGGCTTGGGGGTGAATAGAGACAGGAGAAACAGAGACAGGCTTGAATAGGACAGGATGGGAAACAGAGACAGGGGGGTGAATAGAGACAGGATGGCAGAAACAGAGACAGGCTGGGAGGTGAATAGAGACAGGATGGCAGAAACAGAGACAGGCTGGGGGTGAATAGAGACAGGATGGCAGAAACAGACAGGCTGGGGGGTGAATAGAGACAGGATGGCAGAAACAGAGACAGGCTGGGGGTGAATAGAGACAGAAACAGAGAGACAGGATGGCAGGAAACAGGACAGGCTTGGGGGTGAATAGAGACAGGATGGCAGAAACAGAGACAGGCTGGGGGGTGAATAGAGACAGGATGGCAGAAACAGAGACAGAGCCTTGGGGTGAATAGAGACAGGATGGCAGAAACAGAGACAGGCTGGGGGTGAATAGAGACAGGATGGCAGAAACAGAGACAGGCTGGGAGGTGAATAGACAGGATGGCAGAAACAGAGACAGGCTGGTAGGTGAATAAGACAGGATGCAGAAACAGAGACAGGACAGGATGGCAGAAACAGAGACAGGCTGGGAGGTGAATAGAGACAGGATGGCAGAAACAGAGACTGGGGAATAGAGACAGGAAAACAGAGACAGGCTTGGGGGGTGAATAAACAGGATGGCAGAAACAGAGACAGGCTTGTGGAGGGTGAATAAAGACAGGATGGCAGAAACAGAGACAGGCTGGGGGTGAATAGAGACAGGATGGCAGAAACAGAGACAGGCTGGGGGTGAATAGAGACAGGATGGCAGAAACAGAGACAGGCTTGGGAGGTGAATAGAGACAGGATGGGAAACAGAGACAGGCTGGGGGGGGTGAATAGAGACAGGATGGCAGAAACAGAGACAGGCTTAGGTGAATAGAGACAGGATGGCAGAAACAGAGACAGGCTTATTGGGGTGAATAGAGACAGGATGGCAGAAACAGAGACAGGCTGGGAGGTGAATAGAGACAGGATGGCAGAAACAGAGACAGGCTTGGGGAGGTGAAAGAGACAGGATGGCAGAAACAGAGACAGGCTGGGGGGTGAATAGAGACAGGATGGCAGAAACAGAGACAGACTGGGGGGTGAATAGAGACAGGATGGCAGAAACAGAGACAGGCTGGGGGGTGAATAGAGACAGGATGGCAGAAACAGAGACAGGCAGAAAGAGACAGGGGGGGTGAATAGAGACAGGATGGGCAGAAACAGAGACAGGAGGCAGAGACAGGGGGGTGAATAGAGACAGGATGGCAGAAACAGAGACAGGCTTGGGGGTGATATTTGAAACAGAGACAGGCTGGGAGGTGAATAGAGACAGGATGGCAGAAACAGAGACAGGATGGGGTGAATAGAGACAGGATGGCAGAAACAGAGACAGGCTGGGAGGTGAATAGAGACAGGATGGCAGAAACAGAGACAGGCTTGGGGGTGAATAGAGACAGGATGGCAGAAACAGAGACAGGCTGGAAGGTGAATAGAGACAGGATGGCAGAAACAGAGACAGGCTGGGAGGTGAATAGAGACAGGATGGCAGAAACAGAGACAGGCTGGGAGGTGAATAGAGACAGGATGGCAGAAACAGAGACAGGCTTGGGGGTGAATAGAGACAGGATGGCAGAAACAGAGACAGGCTAGGAGGTGAATAGAGACAGGATGGCAGAAACAGAGACAGGCTTGTGGGTGAATAGAGACAGGATGGCAGAAACATAGACAGGCTGGGAGGTGAATTGAGACAGGATGGCAGAAACAGAGACAGGATGGCATAGACAGAGACAGGCTTGGAGGTGAATAAAGACAGGATGGCAGAAACAGAGACAGGCTGGGAGGTGAATAGAGACAGGATGGACGAACAGAGACAGGCTTGGGGGGTGAATAGAGACAGGATGGCAGAAAGAGACAGGCTGGGGGTGAATAAGACAGGATGGCAGAAACAGAGACAGGCTGTAAGGTGAATAGAGACAGGATGGCAGAAACAGAGACAGGCTGAATAGAGACAGGATGAATAGAAACAGAGACAGGCTGGGAGGTGAATAGAGACAGGATGGCAGAAACAGAGACAGGCTTGGGGGTGAATAGAGACAGGATGGCAGAAACAGAGACAGGCTTGGGGGTGAATAGAGACAGGATGGCAGAAACAGAGACAGGCTGGGAGGTGAATAGAGACAGGATGGCAGAAACAGAGACAGGCTGTGGGGTGAATTGGGGGGTGAATAGAGACAGGATGGCTGGGAGGTGAATAGAACAGGATGGCAGAAACAGAGACAGCTGGGGGGTGAATAGAGACAGGATGGCAGAAACAGAGACAGGCTGGGAGGTGAATAGAGACAGGATGGCAGAAACAGAGACAGGCTTGGGGGGGTGAATAAGAGACAGGATGGCAGAAACAAGACAGGCTGGGAGGTGAATAGAGACAGGATGGCAGAAACAGAGACAGGCTTGGGGGTGAGAGATGAGAAACAGGATGGAATAGAAACAGGAGAGACAGACTTGGGGGGGTGAATAGAGACAGGATGGCAGAAACAGAGACAGGATGGGGGGTGAAAACAGAGACAGGACAGAGTGAATAGAGACAGGATGGCTTAGAAACAGGAGACAGGCTGGGGGTGAATAGAGACAGGATGGCAGAAACAGAGACAGGCTGGGGGGGTGAATAGAGACAGGATGGCAGAAACAGAGACAGGCTGGGAGGTGAATAGAGACAGGATGGCAGAAACAGAGACAGCCTTGGGGGTGAAACAGAGACAGGATGGAGGTGAATAGAGACAGGATGGACAGGATGGCAGAAACAGAGACAGGCTTGGGGGGGGTGAATAGAGACAGGATGGCAGAAACAGAGACAGGCTGGGGGTGAATAGAGACAGGATGGCAGAGAAACAGAGACAGGCTGGGAGGTGAATAGAGACAGGATGGCAGAAACAGAGACAGGCTTGGGGGTGAATAGAGACAGGATGGCAGAAACAGAGACAGGCTGGGGGTGAATAGAGACAGGATGGAAACAGAACAGGCTTGGGGGTGAATAGAGAGACAGGATGGCAGAAACAGAGACAGGCTGGGGTGAATAGAGACAGGATGGCAGAAACAGAGACAGGCTGGGGGTGAATAGAGACACAGGAGAGGCTGGGGGGTGAATAGAGACAGGATGGCAGAAACAGAGACAGGCTGGGGAGGTGAATAGAGACAGGATGGCAGAAACAGAGACAGGCTGGGGGGTGAATAGGAGACAGGATGGCAGAAACAGAGACATTGAATAGAGACAGGATGGCAGAAACAGGAGAGACAGGCTGGGGGTGAATAGAGACAGGATGGCAGAAACAGAGACAGGCTTGGGGGTGAATAGAGACAGGATGGCAGAAACAGAGACAGGCTGGAAGGTGAATAGAGACAGGATGGCAGAAACAGAGACAGGCTTGGGGGTGAATAGAGACAGGATGGCAGAAACAGAGACAGGCTTGGGGGGTGAATAGAGACAGGATGGCAGAAACAGAGACAGGCTGGGAGGTGAATAGAGACAGGATGGCAGAAACAGAGACAGGCTTGGGGGGTGAATAGAGACAGGATGGCAGAAACAGAGACAGGCTGGGAGGTGAATAGAGACAGGATGGCAGAAACAGAGACAGGCTTGGGGGTGAATAGAGACAGGATAGAGACAGGAATGGACAGGATGGCAGAACAGAGACAGGCTTGTGGGGTGAATAAAGACAGGATGGCAGAAACAGAGACAGGCTTGTGGGGTGAATAGAGACAGGATGGCAGAAACAGAGACAGGCTGGGAGGTGAATAGAGACAGGATGGCAGAAACAGAGACAGGCTAGGAGGTGAATAGAGACAGGATGGCATGACAGGCTTGGGGTGAATAGAGACAGGATGGCAGAAACAGAGACAGGCTTGGAGGTGAATAGAGACAGGATGGCAGAAACAGAGACAGGCTTGGGGGTGAATAGAGACAGGATGGCAGAAACAGAGACAGGCTTGGGGGGTGAATAGAGACAGGATGGCAGAAACAGAGACAGGCTTGGGGGGAATGGTGAAGGAGAACAGAGGATGGCAGAAACAGAAACAGAGACAGGCTTGGGGGTGAATAGAGACAGGATGGCAGAAACAGAGACAGGCTGGGAGGTGAATAGAGACAGGATGGCAGAAACAGAGACAGGCTTGGGGGGTGAATAGAGACAGGATGGCAGAAACAGAGACAGGCTTGGGGGGTGAATAGAGACAGGATGGCAGAAACAGAGACAGGCTTGGGGGGGTGAATAGAGACAGGATGACAGGCTGGAAGGTGAATAGAGACAGGATGGCAGAAACAGAGACAGGCTTGGGCGAGGGGGGGTGAATAGAGACAGGATGGCAGAAACAGAGACAGGCTTGGGGGTGAATAGAGACAGGATGGCAGAAACAGAGACAGGCTTGGGGGTTGAATAGAGACAGGGATGGCAGAAACAGACAGGACAGGCTTGGGGGTGAATAGAGACAGGATGGCAGAAACAGAGACAGGCTGGGGAGGTGAATAGAGACAGGATGGCAGAAACAGAGACAGGATGGGTGAATAGAGACAGGATGGCATAAACAGAGACAGGCTTGGGGGTGAATAGAGACAGGATGGCAGAAACAGAGACAGGCTGGGGGGGTGAATAGAGACAGGATGGCAGAAACAGAGACAGGCTTGGGGGGGTGAATAGAGACAGGATGGCAGAAACAGAGACAGGCTGGGGGGGTGAATAGAGACAGGATGGCAGAAACAGAGACAGGCTGGAAGATGAATAGAGACAGGATGGACAGGAGAAACAGAGACAGGAATAGGGACAGGATGTGAATAGAGACAGGCTGGGCAGAATAAACAGAGACAGGCTTGGGGGTGAATAGAGACAGGATGGCAGAAACAGAGACAGGCTGGGGGTGAATAGAGACAGGATGGCAGAAACAGAGACAGGCTTTGGATGTGAATAGAGACAGGGATGGCAGAAACAGAGACAGGCTTGTGGGGTGAATAGAGACAGGATGGCAGAAACAGAGACAGGATGCAGAAAGAGAGACAGGCTGTGGGGTGAATAGAGACAGGATGGCAGAAACAGAGACAGGCTTGGGGGGTGAATAGAAACAGGATGGCAGAAACAGAGACAGGCTTGGAGGTGAATAGAGACAGGATGGCAGAAACAGAGACACAAGAAAATTAGACAGGATGGCACCTATAGATAATGATTACTAACATTGATATTTGACCTTTGAAAGTAAATACCCAAATTTGTTGAAAAAATTTAGGTAACAGGTGCTATGGGTAAATTGATACTATTTTATATTTTTAGTTTTGTGCATGCACATTGTTTGTTCTTGATTTTGTCGACTACACAGTATAGTAGGGTCAGTTGGGTACTGTCTGTGAGAAAAGAGCACCCCAGCAATTTGGAAACGGCATGCTGATTGGAATCTCTAATGGAACATTTGGGAGAATGTTTGGGAAAGTGCATTGGATGAGTCTAAAGTGATTAAGGCAAAGGTATGGCAGCAAGTAAATTCACTATAATTGTTCAGATAAGAAAAAACAAATTAATTGGTGACTGTCTCAAACTCAAAACCATCCAGTGCTGCCCTGAGCCAAAGGAAGAAGTGGCAACAAGACTCTGCACCATGCCACACAAGCAGGAAAACCCAGTCATGGCTGGCAATTTCATTGAATGAATTCTTGATTCTTTAGTATTTGAACAAGATTATTTTTGACCATGTAATTTTGATTTCAAAATATATAATTTTGATAAAAATGAAATATCAGTGTTATTTTCATTTTTGTGTAATTTTGATGTCAATTTATCCATCACACTATAATGGGAAGAAAATAGAGATAAGTTTTTCCTCTACTAATTATCTGGCTGTTCTTAATTAATTTGGGTTTGTAAACAATACTATTTATGTTTGTCCTTGGTTGGATCTGAAGAGTGAGGATCAAAATGCAATTAGCCTTTTTTTTTGTTATTTTCTTGTTCATTGTTTTGATTTACTTTTTTATGGTGATTTATTTTATTATCTTTTTTCTTCTTCCCCTATTTTTGTTTTCCTATTTATTGTCATATAAAGTTACATACAATTTCAATATGACCATTTTATTATATATCTGTTTTTCCATGTTTCTGTTTTATAATATGACCATTTTAATAATATGTTTATTTTTACAATATGTTCATTTTTATAGCATTAATAAAGTTTTGTACTCTCTGTAGACTGTTTAGATTTTTTTTGGTTCTTTTTTGTCCAAAATGCATGACAGATGATTTGGTTTAGTTTTCTGATTGTGTATTTGACAAGCCTAGCTTCATGTTTGATTGTTTCCCTCTCACAATTTGTCACCCATCATCAGGTCAACACAAAAAGTATTCATTCTTCTATCAATTAGTCCATCTGTGAGTTAAATGGCAAAGCAGACTCAGTTCTCCAGCCTTGAATGGCACCCAATTTAAAAGAAGGACAAATCTGAATCAAAAACTGTAGAGAAGGCAACCATAAACCATTTCAGTACCTTTTCAAAGAAATCACAAAGAATTCACCAATATCAAAGAAAAGGGAACAGTGGAGAGTCATGACTACCTACATCTTGACAGGATATGGCATTTAAAAAGGTGATGCAGATGATTAAAGTAAATTTTACTTGTCAATAAATTATGATATATGCATGCCATCTGATAGTTTGTTAGATACTAGTAGGACTGTGGAGAGACATGATCACCAACTTCTTGCAGACACACATAGTAAAAAAACAAAGATCTTCGTAACATTTTCAAATAAGAACAAAATATATATTTGTCTGTAAATATTCTACCATTATTTTTAGTTGTTATAGAATGAAAAGACCAGAGCCAGAATGGTCAGCGACTGGTTGGAGTACTTTGTGGGCATAGTATTCTGACAGTGATGGATTGCCTTTGTCTGGGTTTTGAATATAAGTCCAAAATAGTGTGAATTCAACAGAGGACCACAAGAATTTGAAGCATCGATATGCCTCCCATACCCAGATCAATGCTGGGATAAAACCACCTGCAGAGAGATGCTGAGCCAATGTTCAATATGTGTTCCTGTGACATCACTCTTCCCACTGCTTCTTAGAATCCAAGCTGCCATCACTCTCTCCTAATAAAACACACAAGAAAAAAAAAGGTCCTTTTTGTTGATACTGTTTTATGTAGAAGCATGAGGACCCAGAGACAACATAAAATGCAACAGTTTCTTTATGGTACCATGCATAAAAAAAGCTAGGTTTACTGTCTGACATTGTCGTCCATCTGTAAAGACAAATCTTGTTCAGTCATCATTCACCTTTCTTTATACATCTCTACAGCATTCACTGGCTGCCTGACAATACTAATTCTTTCCCATCATGCTGCTATTGTTGTTAGCCAACATGAACAAGTGAAAAGGGTGCAAAAATCCTATTACTTCCATCACTTGCAGACTTATGTGGTCAGGGAATGAATTGTGAATTGCCTTTAAATAGATAAAAGCACAAAAAAAGAAGCATTTGATGTAACACATTGAGACAGGAAAGTCGAATCTTTATATGAAGAGTCTTATTGGAGAAGAAAAGGCAAAGAAAGGAAAATAATCAATGAAAATGATGCAAGGTATGAAAAGAAAAAAGTTTAAAAGAAAGAAAAGAAAAAAGGAACAGTTAATAGAAAATGATTATTCCTTGAAGGATTCTTTTGAGATGAGGGATTTGCTAAGTCTGGTTCAACATGTCAATATTTTTGCTTTTCTGATTCTATTGTCTTGGGCTCAGTGGAAAATATATATCTGAAATGCTTGAGGAATTTGCATTGATTTCTTCCTATTTTTGGCAGGATATGCTGTTTTAAATAGCAATATTATGTCTTATTACAAACAAAATACATTTATACTTGGAAAGTTCAACATGTGTACACATGTGTGAAGATTTAAAGCAGAAAAAAAATCATAACTAAGTTACAATCAACAACTTATTACATCTAAAGTTGTTTTTTCCCCATTTATAGATTCATATCTTTCTGGCATAGAATGATGGTTAACAAACAAGTCTGGCAGATCATTAGCTAACATTGTGAGTTTATTCCACACAAGTGCTCATTATTATAGCCTTGTGCCAAATTAAACCATGTAACTATACCTTCCAGTTCTTGATAAAGATCTGGTGAGAGAAGAGTGAAAACCGGTTGATGTAATGGAATAACCAGTCACCCCATGAATGATTACATTATAGGTAGTAAGTACCTATAAAGTCAACTGTCTACGAAAGGCTCGAGGTGGAGTGAGATAGAGAAGACACAAGCACGTCCAACCTTCCAATTAGTGGCACTCACTACTAGATTGACCTGTGTTTATAACTGTACCATATTCGATATTGTACTGGTTGTGTACAATAAACCTTTCTTCTATAATCACCTGGTGTTAAGTATTTATTCCCTTAGTACGGAATATAACACTGTTTAAGCTTTTTGATTTTTTTTCTTCTTTATACTCGCATTTTATTTATTATTGTGACTATGAAATTTCTTTGCTCTTTGATTTTAATAGGATCATTTTTTATGACATGGAAAATGGAAATATTTAAAATATGGTATTAAAAAGCAAGATGAAAAGTAAGTATTTTTTGAGTTTCTGGTTTCCTCTCTTATCAAAATTCAATTTAGGATAATAAAATAATTGAACATGATGATTAAAAAGGAACAAAATACATATGTTACTAACAATAACAATAGCCCATGACATGTTAAAAATGTTAAATTTCATTTAGCCTACATGTTCAACATCACACTGACATTTAAAAGAATAAATTACTGAACAAGTTTTGAAGATAGCCATGTTGTCCTTACAAACAGATTGGCTGAAACAAGACCAAAGAATTTTTTTTTATTTTTAAATTATACTTTTTAATCCTTCAAATTTTGGTTGAATTTCTTTTTTTCTTTCATCAATTAGTGTAGGAAATTTTAGCATCTTTTTGCAGTGAAAATGACACTGATTTGGAAATTCTTACAAAAAACAAATAATTGTCTGATTTTAATGACTTATATACAATTGAATTAAATTATTTTAGAAATGTTTCTTTTTTAGAAAATCTTGGTAGAAATATTTTTTTACATCTGCTACTTATCACTTATTTAATTTTATGAAATTTCAAGAAAATCATTTCTGTATGGCTTAATGTTTATATTGGTTTTCTAACCAGAAATGCTTGGAGAATTTAAATCATCAATTTTGTTTTGTAAAACATGACTACAAGTTAAGGAAAATCTGCTATGAATCTAAAAATAAATGATATAATAAAATGAAGACATTATTTAATTAGAAAAGCTTTTAATTGCTTTCATGAATAAGATATATTATGTGCACTATTGTCTTAAGGAAAAGAAATTTTTGATGAATAATTAATTTTTACAAGAATTGCTTTAAATTTTAAAAAAATTTAATTAGAAGGATTTATAAAGTTTTAAAATCTTTTAAAATTATCTTTAATTTGTACTGGGTAGGTGATATTGTTATTAAGTAAAAACTATATTTACTAATCCAAAATGGAAATGCTTACATTTCAATGACACCCAGTATTTTAAACAGAATGTTTTTGAGTGCATATAAATGTGTAAATTTTTGTAAATACAGATGTCCATACACAACATTATCAGAAATTAAGAGCCATAACTAAAGTAAATTTAAAGCCAAAGTACCTAAGAATCGATAAAACATTAGATTACTTAGAATATTTTCCTAAATTTTTAAGATTAATGGGTAGTTAAAAGATTATATAAAAAAGGTGCTCATATTTGTCAAGTAATTTTTACTGGTATGACCCCTGTATAAAAAATTAGTTAAATTCCCCAAACATCAGGCAATCAATAGAGCTGTCAACATCTCATAAAAGCATCCACTTCTGTGTTGAAAATTGCTTTGCTGTTATATTTTCAGCAAAAGTAAGTAATATTTGTTTCAAATCACATTAATTAAACTTTAAATCAGCTAATTTTCTGAAAGTAAAGTTTCAGAAAAGTATATTTTATTTTTGAAATATTTTTTTTAAGAAAGAGAATTATGTTGAGCAGAGACACTTGTAAATATGGCAAAAGTCATTTACTAAAAATAAAAAAAATCATTGCCATCAATTTAAATTCAGTTCAAAATACAGCAAAGTATTTTTTGGAGGTACCTAATTATAAAATTGAAGCTAAACTCCACAGACATGGTAGCAAACATAATTAACTCAAAGAAAACACTTTCTGAAATAGGAAAGAGGGAAAGATAACTTTAACACAACATCAGCTCATATATCTATAGTTTCCTGAAGAGGGATACAAATAAAGAAACAAATTATGTTAAATGAACACATGGACTTATCTTGGGAAGGGGAAGGACAATTTTGAATATACCATAATTCCTCATGTCTAATACGCCTTCATCCATAATATGCACATCTAAAATTGTGCCGAAAGTGTGGGGAAATGCTTCTACTCATGCATAATATGCACCCCTTGTTTGGTAATCAAATCCTATAAATTGTACCTCTCCAATTTCATTATGGCCAGCGTTTATGAAAAAAAAAAAAACGGATTTAAACATAGCATAATATTATTCTAATTTAGTTTTATGATAATTCTTATTTTATTTTACATTTGTAAGTATTGTTAGGTACATATGATTATATTTGACATCCTTAGGGGGTCACAATTGCTGAATGCTAGTGTCAAATTGTTGGATGTTTGTGGTGATTTTCACAACTGAAATCAACCCATGAAACAGCAATTTTTAAAGATTTTTTGTAGTTGGGCATAATACACACCCCTAATTTTATTATTATTTTTTTTTTTTTAGAAAAAAATGCATATTATAAATGGGGATTTATGGTAGTTTGTTTTTTTAGTGGCATATCAACTCCTTATGGGTCATTTAACACTAAAATTCAATTTTCTTGGGAGAATTAGTCTCCAAAAATGTATTGCTGGCAATATCTTTTTTTTTTTTACAAAAAATACACTTTTTTTTACTATGAATATGTATTGCTGGTATTTTTTACCATAAAAATCTATTTTTATACTTTCTTAGTGATTTGATCCCAGTTTGGAGGTTAACTATTTGCCCATAGCTGGGACCCTAACAGGTGCTAGCACTCCCAGTAAAGGTGGACCTGGGAACATCAGCAATTAAGAAGTGGTTCCATAGTCCTCAAAACCTCCCAGTCAGAGTCCTTGCTGCTGGATGTAGTTCATCATCATACCCAAGAGAAAATTTTGAATATAACTTACAAATGTAAATGAGTTTTTAATACAATAATTTGAATACTTGTCCAGAACCAGCCAGCCAGCTATTTGACCAACTTATGATGAACAAATTGAACCACTGACAAGATGGGTCAGACCAAGATATTATCCTTATGGGTTTTAGGCAACTCATATAGCTAGAATCCCAACAATTTAACAACTTCATAAATGTCTGCAAGGAGGAACTTACTTTCCAATAACTTGAGATGAAAATTCAATAGTCTTAGTTTTATCAAACAATTCAACCAGCCTGAATCTAATAAATATTTTCTTGTCATCCAAAACAGACAACATTTTGTTAACATAGTCATCCCAATTTGAAATTACCATACCCAACTCATTATCTGGTTTAGTAATAACAAGAGATTTATTGCAACATAAACCTTCATGTTCATTTTTATTGGAATTATTAACTTTTATACCTGAGTAAAATATTCAA